GGCTGTTTCAATAAGCTCAGGGGCAAGGGAGATGAGGGTGCAAGCCTCTGTGCTGCCCCGTCCCAGGGCAGGCAGAGTCCGCAGGGCACAGTGAGACTTGTGCCTGTCGCCACATGGGTGTGCAGGGATCGTGGGGAGCCCTCTCTGCTGCGTTGAGCTGAATTTGGGGGGCTTCTTGATGCTACGGGCTGTGATCAGCTGGAGCCTGGGGATTTGGTTATCAGAGGTGGGAGCATTGAGCAGCCCGGGGCTGTGCTTGGTCAGCGATCTTCCTTCTCCTTTCCCTCTCATGTGAGCAGGACTGATGCCGCGGGTCGCAGCATGTTTATGACAGTACAGGGCTTGGTTGCTCATTTTTGGAGCAAGAGTCACAGGCTGCATTCCTGATCTGGGACCGGGAAGCCAAATTATCCTGAGATACCTGAAACTCATCACAAGCCTTGTATAAATAAAAGGCTACTTCACCTCAAAGAGCCAACCTCCTGCCCAAATCGCCAACTTAGCTTCAGAGACAAGGCTTTTTAGTCACTAGAAGATACTTCAATGTGACTTGCAGGAAACATCCTTGTATTTGGCAGAAAGGGAGACCTCCCAGCCACATTTCATGACCATGGTGCCATGCCTGCCACTTGGAGTTGAGGGCTCCAGCGTGCTTTTGAGGGCATCTGCTGCACCATCTCCTAATACTGCCACAGATTGTGTGCAAGAGAGGGGGAAGAATAGATCTCTCTGGGTTACTGAGCACTTGGCTTTTAAAAAAAACCACACTTTTTTTTTAAAAGAAAGTTTTTGTTTGTTGTAGTAGTATTTTTATTTATATTTTAGTATTTTTAATGCTGTGATGTGATAGCACCTTTAGCCTACATGGAAATTGTGGGGAATTTGAGGATGCCTGGCCCTGACAGTGCTTCCAGTCCTTTGCTTGAGATGTTCATGAGAAGTAGGAATATGGTGTTTAATACAAGAAGGAAGTGCATCTGTTTGGCAACAGGGAGATGTGCAGAGAGAGTCTCTGGTGATTTGAATGATTCCAAGCTACTGTGTATTAAGCAAATTCCCAGCTTTAGAACCTGCATTCAGAGACTGAAAAGCTGTGCTAAAATATAGCATCGCTTGATTGCAATCTTTCAAAATGTTTTGACTTTTCTGTGTGACGTAGATGCCTCATATCTTGGCTGAGACTGATTGCTTTACACCAGATACTATGTGCTTAAACAAGGATCCAGAAACTGAAGCCATGATTTATTTAAAAAAAAAAAAAGGGGAAATAGAGGTCTGTCTTATCTTGGTTGAAGATATAATAAATATTGGGGATAAAATACCTACTTTTGAAACCAGTGTCAGGAGAACTTTTACTTCTGCATCATAGATTTATTTTCTTTTCCCCTTTAAAAATGTGATCTTCCTGTACTAAGTGAGTTAAATAGTTCCTGAGTTACCACAACCTTTTAAAAAAAAAGGAGTGTGAGGTCTAATTCCACATCCTTTGCATTTCTCTTGCTACATCTAAGCAAACCTTTTCCTGAGGGTGGGGATGGTGAAGGGAAAGCAAAAAGAAAAACCTGTAGCTAGGATATAGGACTTGAATAACTAAATGTCCAGGACCAGATGGAGCCCATCATCAAAATTAAAGCAGTTCTTGTATCTTTGGTTCCATCACTAGAGAATGAGTGTGTTTCCTTCCAGGGTTAGAGGTCAGTATATAACCTTTACACTATGGAGACTTGTGAATGAGAAGAGGAGACCAAACCAAGGCCCTGATCCATGTACCAGACCCGTAAGCCTCCAGAAATGGTGATTTTCCCTCTAACTGTGGGGATGGAGTGGGTGGTCCAGCTGCTGCTGCAGCTGTAGGGTTCCCCTTTGAAGCTCTGGAGAGCTGTGGCGTGGTGAAGGCCAGGAGATAGCACAGCTTCCTCCCCCATGCCTGTCCACACTGCATTCCTGGGAGCTTCCTTCCTGAGGATGCCTCTTTCCAAGGTATCGCTGCTTGGGAGAGCAGACCACCTCAAAGGCTTGAAAAAGCAAAACCCCTCTTGGCTGCTGCTTGTCCCCTCTCCTCTGGGAGGCCAGAAGCTCTGCTGCTTTGGGCAGAGCAATGAATTTTTGCTGGAGACGTAGCCCTCGCCTTGCTGATGAGCCCAGGAACTCATTCCCTTGCCCTGTGTAAAGGCAGCTGGCGAATATCCACGTCTGAACTATCTGGAGCTGGGAGGAGAATTGCTGTGGGGCCAGGCGTATGCAGCCTGTATGTGTTCTACCCTGGGCTGCCTGCCGCTCACCAAAGACGTGCCTGACTTGACCCTCTCCTCCACGTGCAGTTTGTTACAAGGGATGCTGCTGTGCTCTGTGCAAGGAGGCTTTCCTAGGGCTCAGCTGCTGCGAGTGCTGAATTTGGTGCTCAGAAGGGAAGGAGTGCAGCTCCTGCCTAAAACCAGCTTAGCGTGGTCTCCATCAGCCTTGTTTTTTTTCATGACTTCCTCTGAGCAAAGGTTTATCTTTGTCTTATGTACCAGGGGAAAGGGCTTGTCAAGGAAAGTGGGTGAAAGACAGCCCACTGCTGAGGATAAACTTGCTGACATGGCCATTGCTGCCCTGTTTGAGTAGAACTGGCCACCCTCATGTAATTTGGGTGATGGAAGCTGGCACTGAAAAAAAAAAAATAATGCACCTTGCAGTGTTGGAGATGTTTATCCAGGCAACTTACTGCCTGTGTTTGGGTGCTGCTTCCTCCATCTCTTTGCAGAGGAGCTGAGGCCACACTGTGCATGAGCAGCAGGTGAGGCTCCCCAGGGAAGCCCTGACCAGCAGCCCTCAGGGGTTCTTTGCCCTGAGACATAACGAGCAATTCAAGTGATAAGGGAGACAACAAGAACCAAAACCGTATGTGAGAGGATGGGTTGCCTGGTGGTTTTTGGCTGAGACCTTCCTACAGATGAGGTGGGGTGGCAGGAAGGAGAAGAGCTTGTAATAAAACCTGGGGTTTCATCAGGAGTGAAGGCAATAAACAACATTTTTCCCCCCACCAGTGCATTCCTTTGGTGTCAGTTGCCAGACCAGCTCCTCAGTGGTTTACTGGAACTGAATAAGGAGGAGGAAAGGGACCCCGCTGAGAGCTGTGCCTTGTTGGCAACTAAACTCCAGTTGTGGAGGCTTTAACTAACAGTTTAGTCTACACTTGTACAGAAATAACACCCAGTTCTTGCTTGGCTCTGAGATCCAGCAATGGGAAGTCTGTCTGCAAGGAAGGAGGACAGGGTGACCTGCCTGATGGAGAGGAGTGGGCAATTTGCTTGTCTGCAGTCATATCACTCACATTTTTCTTCCAACCCTCTGCTTAGTGTAATCTCTGGGAACCTCATAGGAAGATTTTTCAGTGGTGTTTTGGTGCCCTTTGTAGTACAGTTACTTGCCAAGTTCTCCACTGAATTAAACTTCTTGTGGGGCTGAGAACTAGCGTGGTTACAAAAGTACCTGGGAGCCCTGCCATCATCACTGCCAGGTGGCCGTGGATGTCTCCCGACACTCTGCAGGGCTGCCTTTTATAGCTGGTGGCCTGTGGCAGAGTACTTTGTGTTCTCTGGACCTGGACTTTTTCTATGTAGGGGTAACAACAAGGGATTCTTTGCTGAAGACCTTACCTGGCCTCCCTTGTTAGCGCTGCCTAAGCATCACCTTCCTTTTCTTCCCAGCTCCTGAATGCATTAGCATAACCTTAAACTTGAGTCAGTTTTATTTCTGAGCCCAGGCACAACTTGGAGTTTGCTGGTTTTCTTCCAGCCCCCCAGGAAAGCTGACCGGGAGCGTTTCTCCAGCAGGCACGGGTTTGCTGAACAGATTAACACTTCCCTCATGGCTCAGCTATGGCACATGTCCTTTCTCTCCGGTGGCAGCCCCGCGTCTCTGAGTCACTTTTCTGTGTGCAAGTTCAAATGTCCATGGTCTCCTGGGTTGGCAGGGTGCCCAAGTACAAGAAGAGAGTCACTTTGGCCTTACAAATCAAGTTTTGAGTTAATTATCTGTTTGCTTGGACAGAGTGTGTCCTTGTGTTGGGAAGATAATATTACAATCTAGACTAGGGTCAGAGGAGTTCAGAGCTTTGGCAGAACAACGTGAGGGAGGGAGTGGTGGGTGGGTGGCTCCCCAGGGAAAGGACGGGGCCATAGGGCTAGATGGGGACTTGAGGGCTGGGTGCTCATCCTCGCACTACTGTGGACTCTGGGTATGGCCATGGGCAAGTCACAGGTCACTTAAACTCTGCCTTGGCAAGTGGAAAGGAGTAATTAAAGGAGGTGGAAGTTAAACTGGAGAAGGTAGTAGAGGGAACTGGGAAGCCAGAGGCCTGAAAAGAGGTGGATGGTAAGTCCAGTCCGCGTGTGGAGGTGGATAGTAAATTAGAAGTATTCATCATTTATATTGTAACAGCCTAATGTGGGGATGCTCACAGAAGTACCATGCCCCAGTCCCGCTCTGTGGTTTATAAGCACAGCGGTAGGTCTGGGGCATCATATCACCTTGTGGGAAGAAGGGAGAAACCTCCAGATCTGTGGGGTGACTGGAAGAGTGAGGTTTTCCCCTGCTAACACCCCATGGGCTCTGTGGTTAGTAAGGGCTTTAGTAAAGGCTGGCCGTGAGTCCCTGTTGAGTTTTGCTGGGGCGTTAGTAGGAGCCACGTTGAGCTCCCTGGCTGGAATGTGGGGCTGCTCTGATGGTGCTGGCAGAGGGAGAGCAGAAATCGCTTCTGGTGGATGAGCATGGATGCAACGGGAAGGGAAAAGCTTGGTGGGACAGTTGAAACACCTTGGAACACAAAAGGATTTCTCAGTATTGTGGTGCAAAGCCTCTCTCCAAAGAGTCGTTGGGCTGCCTTGTGCTCCTAGGACTAAATGTATAGTAACAAAGCGTACTCCGAACGGCCCTCAATGCTCTTCTGGTCTTCTGTGGCACTGTGCGACTGCTGGTGTTCATTTTTTTTTTTTCCTTGCTTACAGTGCCTGTGACCATCATGGGGGATGCCAGCATGGAACCAAACATCTCCACTCCTGACAACACTGCAGAGCAAGACTCTCTCTTCAGCATGATGGGCATGTTTCTCATCTCACTCATCACTGGGCTTTTTACTTACTATTTCTTCTTCCGCAAGAAAAAGGAGGAAATCCCAGACCTCCCCAAAATGCAATCAGTGTAAGTAGCAACTCTCGGGCAGCATGGGATGAGTGTGGCTTTCTGTCTTGCTTATGGTGGGTCCTTGGAGGCTGTGCAGGAGGCTCAGCTGGATTATATAGGAAGTCCCCAGGTGAGGGGACTTGGTCCCAAAGTGCGTTTCTCTTCCCTCACGTTTCTTCGGAGCTTGGTGTTCCCCTCGCAATGCAGAAATCCCCGTGGAAGGGCCGGGCTGCAGTTCTGCCGTACCGCACCGTGTGGCCCAAATCAGTAATTTGCCTTTCCTGAGCAAGGCAAGAAAAGGCAAGGCAGAAAAGCCTCTGCCTGAACTTCAAAACTCTTAAGGATTGCTTTGGCTGTTCTGTGTGTTTTCTGATAAAAGTGATATTTAGATAAATCTGTCGAAAGGTGGACTTGCTCTTAAGCAGATTTCCTATGGGAAATCTTATCCTCCCTTAGCTGTGAAGAGAAGAAATAGTCTTGGGGAGATAGGAGGTAGTTCCTGGGCATGAGATGTTTGGCGGCTCTTGTGAAACTTGTTTGGCTTTGATGCCGGGTTACTGCAGCAGCAGGAGACTGGATTTGGAGAGGGAGAGGTCCTTGTTCCACCCTGTCTTTTGCAAAGGGCTTAGGGCCAGGAACAAGTCGCATTGGTGGAGATCTGGGTGCGTTTAGTTCCTTGTCTCAGTCACATAACAAACTTAACGTGAATTTTCTGCTGGACTTTTTAGCTCATTCCTTCTTTTTCCTTCTGGAGCATTGGTAAAAGCACTAAATAGAGGTTTGAAACCTACTGCAGCAGAGACCGTAGGAGCTGGCGTTGTGCAATGCCTTTCCCTTCAGTCTCCTGGGGTCTGTTCCCTGTGTGGGTGCAGTTTGCCCAAGAGAGAAAGCCAGCCTCAACCTTAGCCCAGCTCTGTGCTTTCCAGTATTAGGCCTTTGCAGAAGGTAACCACGCAACAGAGGTCAGTCCTCTGGGTTTGTCAGGCTGGCTGCAAATTTACTGTACACCCCCCTAGTCCTGAGTGTCTGGTTGTGAGGCCGTACCAGGAGGAGAGGGGAAGTGATGTCTGGCTGCTTGCAGTAGGTTCAAGACTTAACGCATACAGTTGCACCAGCAAGGTGTCCCGTGTGAAGTGGGTTTCTCCCTGTGGCACTTAGCGGGTTCTGCTCTGGCAAGAAATAATTTCTCGGTCCTTCATTTCGAAGTGTTACAGCCTGGTGTGGAAAGAAGCTGTGGCAGGACCTGTCTGTAGGCTGCTCAGATGAGGATGTTTGGTGACAAGCCAAGGCATTTCAGCAGGGGACTGATGCTCCTGTTATCCTGTGTGTAAAAGCTAAATCAAACACAGCAAGCGGTTGTGGGTCTGTTACTCACACCTGTACTTCTACCTTAGTGGGTTACGCTGCTTTTGGTTTTCAGGGCTCATCGACCAGTATTTGTGTTGTAATTCAGGTCATAATTGAAAAGGAGCAGGTTTGGTCTCATCATTTCCGCTTTGGTCGGATTCTGACCCTCTCCTCTGGTGGCAGAGCCCTCTGTTTGAAGGCAAGCCTGGGATGCTAGCTCTGTTGTGAAGTCCCTGGGTAAGGGGAGGAGTAGCACACAGCTCAGAGGAGACTCTCGGGCCCGCTGCACACGCTGGTGTTGCAGAGGATGGGAATATGTTTTCTAGCTGGGAGGGTTTTAAAAGGAAGAAACGTCCCTGGCTACAGTACCTTGTGCAGACGGGTACACACGAGGCTGGTCGCAGTCCAGTTGTCTGTGCCTGCTCAGCCTGACCGTGGGAATTTGTTTTGTTGGATCGCTCAGATACTTTCCCTCTTGTGCTTGTGTGTATCAGTGCGTGCAGTTGCCTCTGGAGCTTGTAATGAGAATGGCTGCACTGCGATGAGAGCTTAAGCTGGCTGGAGAAATGGCATTATCCGTCTGAAATTAGATCCTGATGTGGCACGGACTGACTCGGAGAGCTCCCGTGCTCACCGTCCTTGTGACTGTTTCCACCCATCACGTGCAGCTCTTCCAGAGGCTGTCGTGACCTTGCAGAGAAGTCGTACTGCAGAGAAGCTTTCTGACTTCCCCCGGGTGCGTGTTAACTCCTTGTCCTGCTGCAGGACCTCAGCATATGGGCTTCCATCTGAGACTGGCTGGAGGTTTTGGCTTTGGGCCGACTCACAGTCATTTTGCCTATGTTTCCTCCGTGGGGTCCGTGCTGCCTTCTCCGTCTGCGTGGGAGACGGCTGGCAGGGAGCACTGTGCAATGCCTCCTTGCAAGAGCTCTGGAAGAGCAGCACCTCCCGTCACCGATAACCAGGGGCGAGAGGCAAGGTTGCTCCGGACCTTCTCTGACACAATTGCGTTTTGAAAAAGTGACAGCCAGGAGAGTGAAGAGTGAGAGGAGGCTTTGAAGTAGTTTTTCCTCTGTACATTAAGGCTGACTCTGCCTGCTGTGGTCATTGTAGCAAGCTGGTCTGAGGGCAGTGTGGACCCATAAGCCAAGGCTGTGGCTGGTGGCACATCCATCCTCCGGGAGAGAGACAGCGACTTCCTGCAGCTTTTGCAGTGTTATTTTATGGGACACTTGGAACTGGGAGGGAAATGAGTGGGGAAAACAAGCTTGTTCAGCCTCAGGTTTCCTTCCCTCCTGTCATCCTTGAGTCTGGGGTGGAGTTTCCTTTCTGATGAACAAACAAATCGGCAAGATACGGGATCAGACTGTTAGCCACTGCCCATGGCTGGCTGGATATAGCAAGCTGGTCTGTGGGCAGGCAGGGAAGCTGTCCCAGACCCATGAAGGCAGAGGGCCCTTGATGGGGCTGTCGCTGGCTGAAGTGGAGAGCCTTGACCTTAAGAGGAGTTGCTTTTCTTCAGCACGTTCTCTGCAGCTCTGACTTGACTCACCAAACTGTCCTGAACTCCTTTATCTGATGGTATTGAGTGATGGTTTCTGTTGTGTTACTTTGGCCGCCTCCTTCAGCTTCAGCCTGGGAAGACAGGAGGAAGGAAGTGCTGAACAGCAATTCAGGTGCATCACGATGGCTGCTGCTTTAATGGGTTTGCTTGCGACGTGGGAGAGTGCAAGCAGAGTCTCCGACCTGAACACAGCGTCCAGCACCTCAGTGCCTTCCTAGGGTTTTTGGGACCTGCTGCTGAGTAGCACACTTTGATCAAGCCACATCAGCTCAGCAGGGTCTGCAGAGGACATGCCGCTGCTGCAGCTGCCCTTGATTGTGGAAGAACAGATGCACGGTCAAAATACCCTGTTCTGGACGGCATCTGAGCTGGGTTTGCTCTGCATGGCTTTGCCAGCCTGCATGGCCTGGGAACCGTCATAGTCTTGCCCCAGCGATGCTTCTCTGGGTTCAGCCACAGCTCAGGTACTTGCTGATCCCTCACCCTTACAGCCAAGTGGAGCTGTTTTCCTGCCTGACGTCCCCGGAGAAGAAGGCAGAGTCCAGCGGAGGCAGAGGTTTCCCCGTGTACGAGACATCCTGTACCTGTGTTGTGCAATACACGCGTGCATGGGGCAGGCCGGGATATGCTGACTGAGGATTGCTTGCCTTTTGACCATTTTCAAACTTAATTGAAACCACCGGAGCTGCCTTCCCCACAGCCTGCTCTGCAGATGTCATTAGGGAGAACGGCTTTCCATTGCCACGCAGCCATGGCCACCACGCTTCCTTGCAGGGGCATTGCTGGGGAATGCACTAATTTATTTTTATTCTTTGGTGGCACCTCTTCTGCATGTTTCTCAGTCATAGGTTTCTTCCCTTTCTCGTGTGCCTGCTCCGGAGTTGTGCAGACTGTCGCCCTGGGGAGACGCAGGCGAGACAGATTGGTATGCTGGGTGTCACCCCCTCCCTTCTCTCCCCATCTTTAACATTGTTTGGGGCAGAAATTGGCTTATCTCTGTTCTGCAGCTATAGAGAAATCCACTCCCTGGTGCTTGTAGGGCTTCCTGTGGCAGGAATTGCTCCAACTCCATAGCCTGATTAGCTCTCTTTGCTGCCTGTGTTTGTGTGTGAGAGAGAGAGACCATCTCTAATTTAATTTAATAGGATCCTGAAGAGAACAAACTCCTTTGAGCTGCCTCCGTAATGGCACTGCCATAGTTACCCATAGCGTTGCTCATGCAGTGTCTGGAATCGCTTCATTCAGCTACAGTGTCGAATTTTTTTTTTTTTAAAAAGAATATATATAAAAGCAGCTGTGGTATAAACAGTTTCCAAGGGAACAAGGCTGGGGGAGGGTTTTGTGTCCCGTCGCCCTGCTCCACACGGATGGGAGAGGGACGTGTGCTGTGGAGGATCCTGGGAGGTTTCATTCTCCACTCCTAATTCCTTTCTGCCACTGCTGCCAGATGTTGCAGTTTCTCAGGACTGTGCGGATCCACTTGGTAACTTCCAAAGCCCCACCACGAGGATCTGAGCGGACAGGACCACTCCTGCTATGACCCGTGCCGGGACCTTTTGTGCCGGCTCTCTTCTTCTCAACAAAAGGCTGACGCTTGGCTTTAATGCCCAGGAGGAGCAGAATGGAAAGGCCTGTGTGTGTGTTGCTCCAGAGCTAAGTTAGATCCGTCCCCCCACACCTCCCCTTGCAGACCGACCCGGCTGCCCTGCGACTCTTTGTCTGCCTCTTCCCTGCCCCGACCATGGGCTGCGTGTACTCGGCCCCGCGAGAAGAGGTGGCTGTGGTGAGGTGAGTTAATCTGCCCGATGGGCAGACGGGATCGCTTTGACTTGGAGGGTTTCTACTACCACCTCAAAACTGGGTGGATTTGGGTGCCTCGCTCTTCTGGGGCAGGAGGAGAAGGAAGGGGAGAGACTTTGCTCAGAGGCAGGCTGCTCCACAGGAGACCCTGCTGTCGGTGCTCAGTTTCTCCATGACATCCAGGCTGTGTTCTCACTTCTGGATGTACGTATGCTTTCGGGAGGAAAGCCACAGGCACGGGAGCTTTCTGAAGGAGGTGTTCAGCTGAGACGGAGACGTCGATATTGTTGCTGAGCTGTTGGGAACTTCCTCCCTGCTTCTTTCTTTCTCCTGAAATCAAAGTGACAGAGAGCCCTGGGAGTCGCTTGCACTGTGGGCTCTCAGCAAGGGTGGGCAATCTGTACAAGCTTAAGACTTGCTCCAACAATGGAGTTAATCCTCTTTCCTCCACCCGTCACTTCTTCTCTCTTAGTCGCTACCCTGAGCTATCTAAGCAGTAAGAGCAGTCGTTGCTGAAAACATGCTTTCTCTTCTAAGTTTTCCTGGCTGAGCAGTGAAAATGAGTGTCATTTCTGTCTTCAGCGTCTGTGCATTTTTTGCAACTCAGATTTTCAAGCCACCCTGATGAAGCAATTTCAGGGAGTTGTGTAGCCTTTTTTCAAAAGCCAGGCTCATTATTTCTTCTGTGTCCGAACTCCAGACTGTTGTCTACCACAACACTTCAGTGCAGGCTTGCCTCCTTTGAAAACGGACAAGCCCCATGTGCTGCACCCTTTTCTCTTCCAAAGGGATCTTGCTGAAAGGATCTAAAACTTTTTTTTTTCCTCTTTTAAAAGTGTTTTGTTTAGCAGTTGACCCAACAGCTATTTTAATTGGATCTCATTTGCAGAGGGCAGTAAACCAAAGAGGTTCACTGGGGAGCCAAAAGCTAAGGGAGAGCTGAGTCTTGAGCAGGCTGAGGGGCAGCTCTCCAGAGCCCCTGTGCCAGCGGTAGCGTGGGCAGGGTTGGGGCTGCTCTCTTAAGATGCTTGTGATATCCCCCTGTTCCCAACAGGGGACAAATGACAACATGGGGAGACTGTTAACTGCTGAGAGAGCAAAGTGAGGAGTGGGAAGCAGCTCTCTCCTGGGAGCACAGCTACCTTGGGTAACTTTTTTGGGTAGGATTTGCTCATCTTCCTTGCACACTGTGTGAGACTGTGTTGGTGCTTGGACCTGTCAGGCCTGGTTACAGAGCTCCTTGGTACCTTTGGGTAGAAAGGAGTGCTTGAAGGTACGCTTTATTGAACGTCCCCCACCCTGCCGCTCTGTGTGTGTGTGTGTGTGCTCTGCAAATGTCTCGGCACATCCGCAGAGATCCCTCCCTCTGGGCTGCAGAGTTTAGGAAACTGTTAGCGAGCTCTGCACATTCTCACATGGGCCGGAGCCAAAACCATTTGGTTTTTGCCTGGAGGCTTCTCTCTTCCCACAGGAGACCCAGCCTTGCATTCTTCCATTGTGAAAGAGAAACGGGAATGGGTCCCACGTTCCTCCTCCCTGCTACTGAAACTCCAGTGGGGAAGACAGCAAGTGAGCTCCTGGCACTTTTCCTCCTGCCTTGAAAAGACCCCAGTGCCTAATTTGACTGTAGCTAGACCCTCCTCTGCTTGTGAGGTTCCCAGGGTCCCCAGGGCTGGGTTGCTTTCACCCTGTGACACTGAAAACCCATGGGTGTCCTTAGGATATCAAAGCTCTTCTGGCTCCCTACCTAATAGGGTAACCACAGTGGTGTGAATCTCTGCCTCGATGTTTCTGACGCTGCTGTGGTTTGTCCCTGTTCTGAGCTAGAGAAAGCTGCCTCCATGCAGTAATGCAGACGCCGCCCATGCCGGAGATCCATGCTGGGGACGGAAGACCTGGTGTGGGAACGAGCTCTGTGGGACCCCGGCAGGCAGCAGTCACAGGCTCTGGGGGCCTGATCAACTGCATCTGTCTGCTCCGCAGGACTTCCCAGCTCTGGGACTCGCATCTGGCATGCTGTTTTGAGGTTGAAACAGCTGATTTTTAGCCCTATCTGACTTCAAGCTTGGGGAATCCACCCTGGGGCATGGCTCAGGACCAATCCCCTGCCTGTCTGCTGTGGTACAGGAAGCAGGGAGGTCTCCATCCCCTTCTCTCCCACTGCGGCTTGGCCCCTGAGATTTATCTGGAGAGCAGCTCTTGCATCGTAGCTCTGCAAGATCCTTGTAACCTCAGCTGTGAAACCTCTCAGAGCAGTTGATGGAGTAAAGGTTTCCTGATGCCCAGGGCTGAGTGCCTGGGCTTTGTCTGTGGGACAAAAAAGCTTTTTCCCTCTGCTTTCGGAGTCCCTGCTCCATGGTTGTGTGCCGAGAAGCATGAGCATCCCTGGGACGGGGTAAATAAGTCATCAATGGGGACTCTCACCACTTTGGGCAACCTTCCTGAGATCTGGGGACCACTTTTTCCCCCCTTGCTTATTCCTGACCTTAAAGAATGAACATTCTAATCTGAAAGGAGTTTCCTCCTGTCTTTCAGAGCAGCTCCGGTGAGGGACAGCAGCTTCATTGAGAAGATGAAGAAGACGGTAAGCTTCTTGCTGTGGCTAGGCGGGGTGCTGGGAAGGTGGGGGAGCTTGTGTCCTTCCTGGTTTCCTTCGGAGACTGTCTAGCTGTCAGCAGGGGGGACTGGTTTGGATACAGACACGTGTCTGCTGCAAGGAGCATCTAGAGGAGCACTGTGTGGGCAGGCAGGAATAGCTCTTTCTGTCTATGCCTCAGAGTTGTTCTTCGAGGAAAAAATTTAAGTGAAAATTTGATGCAAAAAAAGATGTAATACGAGATCAAAGTTAGGAGGGAAATGGCTGGAGGGAGACTTTGAAGTCATCGGCTGGCAGTTGTTTATCAGCGTGTTTGGTTCCCAAACTGGCTCACTCTGGAGTGGGAGTTGTACACAGAACTGGCAGCTTTTGACTCTGCTGGACGGGACACAAGAGGAAGCAGAGGAAGAAGCAAGGGCTGGATATTTTTTCCGTTTTACTTCAAAGTAGCTGGCTTGCAGCAGAGCAGGAGCTCCAGTGCTCAGGCACTTTCCCAAAGCTTAGGCAAGTCTGCTTTCTCATCCAGGGAGAGTTCCCCGTTTCCAGGAGTCATGCTGCAGCCTTGAGGCTGAGGATAAATCTTGAGAATTTATTCTTTGCTTTGTATTTTAGTCTGACCTGAGTCACCCCTCAGAGAGTGACAAGAGTCATGTTCTTACTAACAGCTTAGCCTTGAATTTTCTGCCACAAACCCAGCGTGGAGTCCTGTACAAGTGCAGACTCCTGGTTGAATTTAGGTTGCAGTCCAGGGCTCCTGCTCCCAGGCATTTCATTTGTCTCTGACAAGATGTGCTTCGTCTGTACATTTGCCAAATGAGTAATCACAGTTTAACAGAGATTTCTTTTTCTCTCCAGGGGCGAAACATAGTGGTTTTCTATGGTTCCCAGACGGGTACAGCAGAGGAGTTTGCCAATCGTCTCTCCAAAGACGCTCATCGCTACGGTCTCAGGGGCATGGCAGCGGATCCAGAGGAGTATGACTTGGTAATTTAGCCATGAATAGCCTCATGATAGGTAACATCCTTTTAGTGTCCCCTAAAAAATCCCAGAAAGAGCCTGGCACAGGGACAGTTGCCCTTTCAGTAGTGTCATTTAGGGGAGAAAAGATCAGACCTGGGCTTGGTCCTTGCCATTCTACAGATTTGGAGCGAACACTGCAACATGACCGAAAGAGAAAGGTAGGCTGAAGTGTTTGGGAGTCATGAGTGATCCATTGGCAGCACGAAACTTGCTCCGTATTCCTTCTGTAGTTAACGTTGTTCCCATACTGCTGCAGTCTTGGACAGAGGCATTGACACTGTGATGTTCTCCAGTGCAAACAACAATCCTGGTCCCTTAAAGCCTTGTATGGAAGATCCCATCGCTTTTCTGGTGGGGTAGAAGTATTGCCTTGCAGCCCAGTGAGGGTGGTTACCTCTATTTCCACTGCTGTTTTGGGTGGGTTTGGCCTTTCCAACCCATTTTGTAACTTGTTTGACGTTACGTGGTGCTGTTCTGCACGCCAGAGGTAACTGTATTGTAGAAATAGACTTACCCAATAACCACGTTGTGGGACCCTTGAGGGTTTATTCTTTCCTTTGGTTGTAGTCGGACCTGAGTCGCCTCTCGGAGATCGACAAGTCCTTAGCTGTGTTCTGCATGGCCACTTACGGCGAGGGTGATCCCACAGACAATGCCCAAGACTTCTACGACTGGCTGCAGGAGGCTGACGCCGACTTGTCAGGTCTCCGATTCGCAGTAAGTGGCTCAATTCCAGTTTATGTTGCATTTGGGCAGGAAAGTCACTCCGCTGTGCCTGCACGTGGCTTGGGTCAAGGCACGACAGGACGTCTGCCTTGTACGCCTGTGTCGGATGCGGTCCCTGTTGTCTTCCTCCTCAAGCTTCATGGACACTTGCAAACATACATCTGGGGGCTTTAAATGCAGATGACAGAGTACTCTTTCCACTCCCTAAATCACAAGGGTTTGCTGGTAATGTCTTGCCACAAACAGCCCAGCAGGCATTGAATACAAGGTCTGTAAATGACTTACAGGCTGCTGCTGTTCAGAAGCTAATTGAGCAGCCCTGGGCCAGATCATCTCCCACAAATTAAATCACTTGGAGGAGTGTGTAGCTCTTTTCTTGTGCTGAGCTGAATAATTGGCTGAGATACAGCCACCTCACCTAAACCCTGGCCAAATTCCTTAGGCAGCATAATAATTGCAAATGAGGAGAAAATCCACTGCTGGAGATGTTAAGCTGCTCTGTATAAAGCAGCGAACAAACATTTGCTGAGTGGTTTGTGGCAGGCAAGGGATGGCAGTTGGTCTCCAGGCAGTCCAGGCTTTTACTGGTCCCTTGAGAAGATGGTGCAGGCAACCCTTATCTGTGCATCCTCTTGACATGCCTGAGGCCTGGCTCAGGTGGTGGTGCCTACTGACCAGACACTCTCCAGGAGTAGATTCTTACTCAAAGCCCACAAAGAGCTGACGGGGAGCTAGGAGAGGTCTTGTTGTCTTTCTTCAGCATCCTTTGCTGATTGATACTGGCCAGAGGATGCCAACTGGATGGGAAAAGCCCAGCGCCTACTTCTCCACGCTCATCAGTGTTCCCTTCCAGGTCTTTGGGCTGGGGAACAAGACTTACGAGCACTTCAATGCCATGGGAAAGTACGTGGACAAGAGATTGGAGGAACTTGGAGCCCATCGCATCTTTGAACTTGGACTGGGAGATGACGATGGCAAGTGAGTAGCTTGGCTTGAAGGGCCGATCAGAGCTGGCTAAAGTGTTGTGGAAGGGACCTTGGCAGGCAATTGGCTGTACTACTAAGACAGAAATAAATTCCACAGGGCTAGTTGTGGGAGCTGACATGCCTCTGAGTGTATGTCTGTCTGCTCTCTCCCCCTGAATCAGATCCCTGTACACTTAGAGTATCCTACAGGATCCTGTGTCTGGGAAATCGCACATCAGCTTTAAATGACCATAGGCAGCCTCCTCTGCCTTTGGCCTGCTGCAGCTCCGTTGCTAACCCAGCCTGTATGGATAAACTCACCTGTCCCTGTGGAGGATGCAAACGCCATCTCCTTGTGAGCTGTTTGTTTTATGGTGGAAGGCAACAATTTTCCGACTTCGACAAAGATTTTTTTTTTTTGACCTTTCTGTGCTGCTTACCTGAGCACCCTTAGGTGCAGCTTAAGCTGGGAAGTGACATGAACCTGTGGCTTTACCTCGAAGGATTACAAGATCTGATGAGAGGGATGTGCTGTGTTTGGGAGGCTCTGGGCCCAGAAAAATAAGCATTGCCATGATGGAACCTGCCTTTTAGGAAGGTGACCTAGTGCCAGGAGTGGGCAATGGGGAGCTGAGTTGGTTAAAGACCCAGTCTGAATAACAAAGCCTTCCTTAGCAGACCTGATGAAGGGAGAGGTGGCTGGTACAGCAGCAGTTCCCTCCCACCCACTTAGTGATCTGAAGATCCTCTTCTGGTGATCTGAGGTCATGTAGACATACCAAAACTGCCTGGATCCAAGGGCAAATTCCTTTTCCCATAGTGAAGGAGGAAGTCCATAGGGATCTCAGATGGCTTCTCTGGGAATAGCCCTTTGCTCCCCCTTTGGCAGCATTATTGAATCTCTCTTTTGCCCTGGCTAGCTTGGAAGAAGACTTCATCACCTGGAGAGAGCAGTTCTGGCCAGCGGTGTGTGAGCACTTCGGGGTGGAGGCTACAGGAGAAGAGTCCAGGTGGGTATGGGAGCAGGTTCTTCAGGTGCCAGAGAGATTGGTGGCTGTGCCATCAGCCCTGAGCTGCTGTCCCCTTTCCTGTGCACTGCCTCCCCTTCCAGACTTGAGAGGGCACGTGTAAAGTAGTTCAGCGAGTGGTGCTGTTTGGACTGAACCTGTCCTGGTGCGAGTTTGAACCCAGCTCTGGACTTCTGTTCTGTGTGGGGATGTGATGGGTCTGGTTCCTGTGTGGATGGCTTTGCTGGGTTGTGATGCTCCCAGTGAAACCAACGTTTCCTCCTGGTTTGGGCTTTCTGCCCGGTCCCTAGTGTCTCGAAGGGGTGGAAGTTGCGTTTGTTTTTGGACTGCAGTGCATCCAGCAAAGCAGATGATGGTTCCAACTGTACCTTGTGATTTCCAGTTTGACTTTTTTCTCTTTTCTCTCCCCTTCCTCCTCCAGCATCCGCCAATACGAGCTGGTGGTGCACACAGATGTGAACATGAACAAAGTCTACACCGGTGAGATGGGCCGTCTCAAGAGCTACGAGAACCAGAAGCCGTAAGTGCCAAACCACCCTGGGCAGCATGTACGCGAGCCAGGCCTCGCCTGATGGATCCTTGAAGTTTCTAACAACACCTGCTATGCAGGCAGTGCCATTTCTGCCGTGCAGCCATGTGACAGGTCTCTGCCCAAGAGAAATGGACTCAGATCTCCATTGGGACTCTCAGAAATCCCCAGTTAATGAATCATTAGTGGTGAGAAGATGGCTGTGTTCACATGTGCCGTTCGGCTGGTACATTTGCAGCATCTGTCTTGAGGTCACTCAGAGCCTTTCCTTGCATGATGGTGCTTGCAGTATTGCTGTGGGGAGATTAGCTGTATAAATAAATTCCAACCTGAAATATTTCTTTGAGATGTGACGGTTCCCTCCGACCTGCTTCTGTATCATGTGTTCTTAATAGGACAGAACCTGTTGATTCCTGGGCTGTCCTTAGAAGGAAAGTGATCTGTTTTCTGTGCTGGTATGGGTAGTAGCAGGATCATAATTTGGTTTGTGCTGTGGTGTACTTTGAAACATGAACCAGGACAGCCCTGTGCTCAAATCATGGGAGGCAGAGGGAACATGCCTGGACACAAGCAGCACTGTGAGCCTGCAGGAGAGTAACCCAGAGGGTCTGTGTCTTTCCTTCCAGACCATTTGATGCCAAGAACCCCTTCCTGGCCCAGGTTACAGAGAACCGCAAGCTGAATGAGGGTGGAGAGCGACACCTTATGCACCTGGAGCTGGATATCTCCAATTCCAAAATCAGGTAGTTCCCCATGGGAGACTGCTCTGGTTTTGGCAGGAGCAGTCTGCATCAGGAGCCAAGAACAAGGATGTGGCACTGGCCTCATCCAGCACTTTAGAAGGGGACCTTATTCTCACAATTACTTAGCCCTGCCCCTCTGGGCTGCTGTACCACATACCAGGTACCTGGTGTCAGGACTTTTTCCCAGCTCTTGTGCTGTGCCTGGCTGTGCCAACTGGCAGAGTCATTCAAAAAATGAGGGGGCAGATGACCTGTGAGAGAGCGGAGAGCTGGGGATGGCTTATGCCTGAGTTTGCCTGACTTAGGTGTACAAGCATAGGGGGAATAAGACCTTGTTCTTAGAAACCCTTTCGCTGGCTTAAATTCCTCTGTGTGCTTGTGAGAAAGCCACGAATCCAAGTGGCTTAACAGAATGAAATACTGCAGAGGTTTTGAGCAGTTTTTTTCCTGTCTGTCAGAGTTGGCCTGTCCTTGCTGGAAGTCTGGCCTCATTGAAGTCTCTGGCAAAACTGCTGTTATCTTGGAGGTCCTTTATAAAAAAAAAAAACCAAACTGGTTCTTAAAACCATTGTTCCACAATGGTCCCTTCTGGTATTACTGCTGGCTCTTTGGGATCGCTGATTGTGCAGGGACTGTGTAGCAGCTCAGATCTCAATGTTGTCCTACTGCCCCTTGCACCAGCCCCCTTGTCGCTACCTGAGCAGCTCAGGCTTGGGGTGGACGAGAAGCGGTGCTGGTGTTTCATCTACTCTCCTCCTGCTCTCATGCCAGGTACGAGTCTGGGGACCACGTGGCGGTGTACCCAGCCAACGACTCTTCTCTGGTGAATCAGATTGGTGAGATCCTGGGCACAGATCTGGACATGATCATGTCCCTCAACAATTTGGACGGTGAGTATGCATCACCCCTGAGTGTCAGCAGTTCTCCTTCAACTATGACCTTTGTCCTTCCCACCAGAGCAGGAGCCAAATCATCTTCAGGTCCCACAGGGCACTTCCAGGCAAACAGAGATGACCCGAGGCTGCTCCGAATGCTATGCCATTTTAGCAGTGGCACGGAGCCCGCTTGCTGAGAGCCAGCTGAAGTGGGTCAGTTGTGAAACGTACTTGGTGTGCCCATTCAGCAACAAATCATGTAACAGCACGCTCCTGATTACAGAGCATCAGCCTGCTGGAGCATCCCTCTTCTGCAGCAGCCCCGGAGCTCAACGGGGGCCTTAGTGTCTGAGATGCTGTTATTCAGTCCTTGAAGGAGGCACAGGCTTGGGGACTGAACTGCCAGGAGGGAGCACTTGTGCTGGTACAAAGAGCTTTTTTGGGCAGTGTTCCCAGCAGAGCTGGCCTGTGGCAGGAGGGAGATGGCAGCTGCTGCCCATCTTACTCCTGAAGCAGCGCAGCCTGACCTAAGAGAGCAAGTGGCTTTAATGCACTACCGGAACCTGCAGCCCCCTGTGCAGCATCCTGTGTTGTCCGCCCTCACACTGTCATTCCTGTCCCTTATGGACCTCCTAATTTGCTGAACCAAATGGCTCCAGCCTTTGTTGCTGGCACTTACCTTTCCCAAGGGGGCTCTGAGCACAGCTGTCCATGGCTGAAGGAGACGAAGGACACTTTTGAGGCCAGATCTGAAGGAGGTTTAAGTACGTGAGGCCGAATTAGCCGTGGAGAACAGACCTTCTGCTTGGTCTGGGAGTTTGCTGGGTGCCTCTGTGCATGGGTATCTGGGGGCAGAGAGCCCCTTTGGGGAGCATGGGGTATTTTTATTATTTCTTTTTTTTTTTTTTGCTGATAAGCTGTCAGGCAGCATCTGTGAAACATAAAATGGGCTACTGGGAGACGTAGCTGCCTGGAGAGGGAGCTGCCCTGTGCTGGAGCTGCTTCAGTGTGGGATCAGGGCTTTGGCCAACAGGCTGAGTCAGCCCTAGGGCTGCTCTGTCCTGTCTGAAGCCCATTGCCCTGCTCTGTCTCCAGCTCTCGTACACTACATGTAGCTGCAGGCATAAAATCTCTGACATAACAGCATGCAGTTGCTGATTTTATTATTTTTTTTTTGTCTCTCCCTCTTCTCCAGAGGAATCCAATAAGAAACATCCCTTCCCCTGCCCCACATCCTACCGTACAGCCCTGACATACTACCTGGACATCACCAACCCACCCCGCACCAATGTCCTCTACGAGCTGGCCCAGTACGCCACGGACGCCGGCGAGCAGGAGCGCCTCCGCAAAATGGCATCGTCTGCTGCCGAGGGGAAGGTGGGAGCTGTAGCCTTCTCAGCAAAGTTGCTGGGTTGAACTGGGTGCTAGGGGATCCCCAAAAGGGATCCAGGGCTGTTGGGCACCACGTGCAGAGAGCTGAGGGAGTGTTTGCCAGCCACGTAGGGAAGTCATCACGTTTGTGCCCTCCTTGCTCGCAGGCTCTCTACCTTAGCTGGGTGGTGGAGGCCCGGAGGAACATCCTGGCCATCCTGCAGGACATGCCCTCGCTGCGTCCCCCCATCGACCACTTGTGTGAGCTCCTGCCTCGCCTGCAGGCCCGCTACTACTCCATCGCCTCTTCCTCCAAGGTGAGTGTGCTTCCCGCAGGGACCAAGGCTTCAGCTGAAGCTCCACAGTGCCACGGCTCCCTTCTCAGCTGGGGACCGGACATGGGGAACTTGCCCTGGCAACACTTTCTGTGAGAGGGGCAGCTTTAGTTATCTCTATGCATGAGAAGAGGGGCTTATCCCAACTTCCACAGGGTCTGCAGCGGGTCCCACGCTGCAGCCAGCTGTGCCCCAATACCACCACCCTCCCTGCAGCCCTGCTCCGCTTCACCCCTAAGCCTTGCTTTCAGGGCTTGGAAGCAAGGTGACATTTTAGGGGTTGGTCAAAATTCACTCTTTACTTTGTGCCTGAAGCCCTGAGGTTGTTGGCAATACCGAAGGAAGCTCAGTGGTCCTCTGATGAGTCGGACACAAGACGGAAGCCCCATGTGGGGTGTGCTGGGCAGTTTGATCTGCCAGGGGAGGAGCAGCTGTCCCAACGTTAGCATTAGGTTAAACTTCTCCCCATCCCTGAGCACAAGGAACTGAGCTGTGGGGTTGCTGGGACTCCCTTTCTGCCTGGCACTGACATCCCTTCCCTGCAGGTTCACCCCAACGCCATCCACATTTGTGCCGTGACAGTGGAGTATGAGACCAAGACGGGACGCCTGAACAAAGGGGTGGCCACCAACTGGCTCAAGAACAAGGTGCCCAACAAGAATGGTAGCAACTCCCTGGTGCCCATGTACGTCAGGAAGTCGCAGTTTCGCCTGCCCTTCAAACCCGGCACGCCCGTCATCATGGTTGGACCAGGAACTGGCATAGCCCCCTTCATCGGCTTCATTCAGGAGCGGGCCTGGCTGAAGCAGCAAGGTGAGTGCCCAGAAACTTCCCTGGGGACTGGAGCTGCTGCAGGACGGCACTCTGTGGGGACAGTTGGTGCCTCCAAGGTGCAGCTTGTGCTGCTTACATCGCTGACAGGTCTAGCAAAAAGCAGAGGTGGTGGAGCAGGGTGAAGAGCAGCTAAGTGTTTTTGCCCAGGAGGAGGATGCTTTGTCCTCCTCTTGGCCACAGAGGATGTTGGGGTGGGGGGAGGGCAGATAGACCTGAGCCATTTCTCTGACTTCTGTCACCATGTCTCTGAATAACCCCAGTCAAGTCACTTAGACTCATTTCTAAAGCATACGGGTACTTCTGGGAGTCGGTCTAAAGCTTCTCCTTACAAACAGAAGCAGTCGTGCAGCTCTGCCTCCCCGGGGTTGGCAGGATGAGGGGAAGGGGGGAGGACAGGGTTGGGGGCTGCAAGGGGCCAACTGATGGGTGCTGTGTGACTCTGCAGGCAAAGAGGTGGGTGAGACAGTGCTTTACTATGGCTGCCGTCATGAGCGTGAGGATTACCTGTACCGCGAGGAGCTGGCCCGCTTCCATCAGGAGGGAGTCCTTACCCAGCTCAACGTTGCCTTCTCCAGGGACCAGGCCGAGAAGGTACTGCTCTGGGCCCCCAGCTGCTTGCTTGTGCTGCCCACCATCGCTCCCAGCTGTGGCAGTGGGGGAAGAAAAGGCCCCGAGGGCTGGAGACTCCCAGCCTGGAGCCTGGCTGTTAGGGAAAGGCCCCTGGCAGCCATAGGAGCACCCAGCACCTCCACCGTCTTGTGGAGCCATGTGTGTGGGCTTGGCTTCCCCTCGCTCGCCATGGCCTGTGGTGTGCGGGCTCCGCTCCTCTCATCTCACTCCCGCCTTATTTCATGCCAGGTTTATGTTCAGCACTTGCTGAAGAACAACAAGGAAAATGTCTGGAAGCTGGTTAATGAGGGGAACGCTCATATCTACGTGTGCGGGTAGGTCTGGTGCCAGGGAAGGGACTTTGGGGAAAACGTTCCTGTCCTCGGGAAAACGAGTGTGACCCAGTGTACCCACTTGTGCATTACAAGCCCTGGGAGGGTTATGCTGTCCTTGTTGCAGGGGAGGGCAAGCGGCCAGGCAGATGGGCTGGGCTGAGTGAATTGTCTGTGTTCGGGTGTTGAGAAGTGGCTCTGACGTTACTGCCTCACTCACGGTACCCTTTTTCCCAGCGATGCTCGCAACATGGCCCGGGATGTGCAGAACACTTTCTACGAGATCGTGGCCGAATTCGGGAACATGAGCCAGCCCCAGGCCGTGGACTATGTAAAGAAACTGATGACAAAGGGCCGGTACTCTTTGGATGTCTGGAGCTAAGAGTGGGGCTGGCAGGGCTGGGGAGAGAGCGGATCCCCAAGCGTGGGCCGGTGGGAGGTGGAATGTGCCTGCTCGCCCACTGCTGCTGTGGGTGACAGCATCATCCTCAGCCCACAGCTACCCCAGTGTCACTCCCAACCCCTCCTGGGCCACAGCGGTCCCCTGGGGCAGGCTGTGTACCTGGGGAGGTGGAAGGAGTTGAGAGGGGCAAGGGGGTAGCTTAGGCTGTTCTGCAGGAGCTGTGGTGCCCCCGGCACCCCAGGGAGCACCTCATGGCACCAGCGTTTGCCTTGAGGTCAGGGACGCAGCTGATGTGGGGCAGGAGGGGATGGACAGTGCCGGGGGAGCTCTGGGGTCCTTCCCAAACACAAGATGTTGCCTTATCCCCCGGGGCTGGAGACCACCCT